GGTATTACGTTGTTCAATATTGCTTCTAGCATTGCTCATAAGCGCATTAAATTGATAAACATCCTATTCCGTCTGTTTCTGATTTGTTCTGCAGCTTTCTCAGAAGGACGAAGATATTCTCGAGATTATCACTTACGTAGGATTGAGCCTTTCAATCATCGGAATGATTTTAACTATAATCATGTATTCCCTTTTCACGTGAGTAAACATTGTCAAGTTTCTCAAGCCTTTGATTGATTGAAACTAACAGGATGTACATAAATCACTGCTAGTATTTTATTTCTAAACCAGAGATATTCATCAACCTGTGACTCAAATAAGACTGAGTCTCGCCGCTTCGCTCGGAGCTGGTCAAATAAGCTTTCTCGCCGGAATGCACGCCATGGGTAACACTGTGAGTGTGGTTTTGTGTTTTTTCCTGATTTCGAAATTTCAAAAAAAGAAATAGAAGAAAAACTCTTTTTCGTTTTTCTGCAGGTCGCTTGCATAACAGCAGCAGTTCTTACGCAGTATTTCTTGATGGCCGCTTTCTGCTGGATGCTGGTGGAAGGAATCTACTTTTACCTTTTTATTGTAAAAGTTTACAACATCAGCAACAAGATGATCGTATATCACGTTATGGCATGGGGTATTCTTTTTCAATCAGTAATTACTACCTATTGTTTTCAGTAATGATCTGCCCTATTTCGAATCAGTTTATTAATAATATGATTTCATGCGAAGTTTGACCTTCTCCGTTTCTTTGTGTGAAGGTTTCCCCATCACCATGGTCGGCATTTCTCTTCGCGTCGCAATCGGAAAAGGAGAGATTCAAAGCTATACCAGCGATAAATAGTAAGAAACACAGTTTACGTTCATTGATTCCTCCCTTTTTGCTCCCTTTACATGTTTTGGTTTTTCTCTGATTTGGGTTTACTTGACTTTATATTTCCCTCATATCTTTTTTTCGTCTTGCCCACATCTTCCGTTTTTCTTATGTTTGCAAACTAGTTCATTTCTTATTTCATCCTTTCTCTTACACTCCTTTTCAGTCTTCAAATATATCTGTTGAAATACATTTCCCTTTTCTAGGTAGTATAGCAAACTGCTTGTTTACTTTCCTCTAAACATTTCTTTGTCTTTCCCTTTTCTTTTAAGTCTGTTTGACGGCCAGCCTTTTTTTAAATTCTTTTTTATTAATTTTCAATTGCGGAGCTGTGATTTGATCTTGATTTGACTTGCTTTTAAGATTTGATGTTAGCTTTATTTCTGGCTCCTTTAGCTTTGTTTTTTCTTTTTCCGTCTTCTTTAGTTGTTGGTTGTCATCATCTTATGACTTGATTTGGATATTTGTTGCATCTCTGACAGCAACTGCAGTGGTAAGTTTACTATCAAATTTTTGTAAATAATTATCAAATTGTAACTTTTCCATAAGATACTTGACCTATAACACATGCACATTGCTCTATTACGGTTTTTATCTTTGATTTTTTGGTTTGGTTTTCAGCTCAACAGTTTTATACTCGCACGTGTCATACGGGAGTTGACCACATTTCCACAAACAGGAGCCACCCAGATTCAGCAAGTCCGGTACAGTTGAATTAAAATCACGAAGAGAGAAAATCCCTTTCTTTGATTCATTCTCTTCCAATCTTAGTAGTAGTGATCAGCATTGTTTATGAGCCCTAACTCGCGGACTTAAAAGGGGTGAAGGGGAGGGGTGAAGGAGGGGGAAAGAGTTGAAGAAGAGAGGGGAGGGGTGAAGGAGGAGGGAGGGGTGAAGGAGGGGGA